AGAAGAAGGGGGAGTAAGAAGAAGAAGGGGGTAAGAAGAAGGGGGGGTAAGAAGAAGAAGGGGGGTAAGAAGAACAGGTGGGGGAGTAAGAAGAACAGGTGGGGGAGTAAGAAGAACAGGTGGGGGAGTAAGACGACCAAGGGGGGAAGTATGAAGAACACAGGGAGGAGGGGGGTAAGACGAACACAGGGGGTGTGAAGAGAACACATAGAGGGAGGAGTGAGAAGAACACAGGGAGGGTGGAGGGGGGGATGAGAAGAGCACAGGGAGGGTGGGTGAGTGTGAGAAGAGACCGCTAGGGGAGGGTGGGGTAGAGGAGAGACCACTAAGGTGCAGGGGAGAGCTCTACGGGACAGAAGGGGCAGCTCTATAGGACAGGGGCCAAGACAGGGAGCTCTTTCACACTACGCTCGCGCACACACACACACACACACACACAATGCATCCCTATACATACACAGAAACACAACATGCTTCCCTTACACACAGAGAAACACACAATGCATCCATTACACACACACACACAATGCAACCCTTACACTCAAAGACAATGCATCCTTTGCACACATACACAGAAACAGACAATGCAAACCCGTACACACACATGCAAACACACACACTTCTTTTCTTACATACACACAGAAACACAATGCATCTCTTACACTCAATGTACACACATACAGACACACACTTTGCATCCCTTATGCATACAAACACAGATTCACACAATGCATCCCTTACACACAACCAGAAACACATAATACATCCTTTATACACAAATACACACTGCTTCCACTACACACAAACACACTACATCACCTGCACAAACTGGTAACCCTATACACTACATACCATAAGCACACATATTAGATCCTCTACAATAACACATAACAAATCCCCTACACACTCCACTCCCTGTGAGCGAACTCATGGGTGGGTGGAACTTATGAGTGGGCCTTATGGGCATACTCACCGTCAGGCCCTGGGGCCCAGACCCCAAAAAATGGAGCTGCTTCCAATTCTCCCAGAACATTGAATTTTGGGACCACAGTTGCAAACAGCCTCCAGAGATCCTGTTCTACACCAGACCAGTGGAGCCAAACTGCAGCCCATCATCATCCTCATCTGCTTGTAAGTAGGCAATCTAGTATATTATTAGTGACACTAATCTATAATTTACCTCACATTAAAGGGACACTATAGCTTAATGAAGTGGTTCTGGTGTCTATAGCTGGTCCCTGCAGGCTTTTTAATGTAAACACACACTGTGTGCAGCACTGGCGTTAGTTCATATGGGTGGGGCATTAGTTGGACTGAAACATTGATTACATGCAAAGGCACATCTGCTTAAAATAAATCTGCACTTTAAAGGGTTTATTTGTTTATTTTGAAGCCTATGAGTGCGCTTTTTACGTTGAAGTACTTTTTAATTTTAAGTTATCTGTTCTAACTCTGTAACTGCACACTATGCTGGCGCGATGCATTATGGGGCTGGTAAATATTTTTTTTCCAGGGCTGCTTTTAATTCCCAGTCCGGCCCTGGTAGTTCGTAGAGTTCTTCTTAAATACTAGTTTGATTGCAGTCAACAATTGTCTGATGCCCAGAACGAGCAAATATACACTGTGCACGGCTAATGATATTGCTATCTTATCTCCACAGTGACTCCATGTGTGCCGCGTCACCATAGCAATGGACGCGATGACGGCACGCCGCGACGTCACGTGGGGGCGGAGCTTCACTGCACATGCGCACTGGCCACATTAGGACGCCGATCTGGGATGCACCTCACCTGGGGGTAAGCTAATTGCCTATATATGTTCGTTTTTGTTGATTGTGTAATTTTATTGATCCTGAAGAAAGTCCTATACAGAGGACTGAAACGTTGATTGTGATTTTTAATATGACCAAATAAAGATTAAGACTTTTAAACTCCGTGAGTGCTGCTACCTCTTTGGATATCTGGATAACCAAGCCCTGCCTTAGCACCCGGCAAACAAGGGACATTTACAGCATGAGTGCAAGAGATATTTTCTATTATATATTTATATATATATATATATATATATATATATATATATATGTATATAAAATACTATAAAAAATATA